GAGAGAGAGAGAGAGAGAGGCACGCACACACGCACGTGCGAACACACGCCACAAGCACACGCACGCGCGCACGTGATTGTGGTTATCCGGTCCTCTAATTTATTCGTACATAAACTTGTACATGAATATGTGTTTGTATGGCTGTATGAAAGTATGATATGCCTGCATGTCGTCCTTACGTACGCAGGCATGCATGTATGAATCAGACAGAGTGTGTTGCTTCAGGGGCCCTAGACATGACACACATCCGCAGATGCTGCAGGTTGCGGAAGCTGCTTGCAGTCTATGGTCTAGTCTAGACTCTAGACTTGCAATGAAAGCTTCATTTTCCTTCAACCGTAACTGATCCAGAATTCATCCTCGGATGCCTCGCCTTTCCGGATACAGCTACACGCCTTACATTTCACAGGGACGCATGGAGTCCTCGAGACATAGTGATTCTTTTCCTGACCTTGCATGATCTATGGATGGTCCCCTGAAGCCATAGACACCACCATTGAAGGACTCGCGATCTTCAGTTCTACAAGTTTGAGTGGCTAGTTGAGTCTTGCGAGCGTCTCATGGCGACATGGCTGCACAACATCCAGCAATCTCCGAGAGTCGAAGGCACTGCAAGTGTCCCAAAACCCTGAGCTCCGGCCATGCTCCTATGCCCCAGTCTACAAAGCCTAGTTGAACTCCAACTTATGAAACTGCACGGGCGGGCCGGAAGCCCACATGAACTGAGACCCGCTCAGGACAGACGCGCTTGTAGTTACCCATCTGTGATACAGAGCTCATCCCTGGGTATCTCTTGGGATTTTGATATGATTAAGATCACCCACCACCTGTTCAGTTCATGTGAGAGATGGCCCATGCCTGACCGACGAAGTCGAGGCATTGGGCACGCTGAAAATGTCCCAGGTAGACCTCTGGAAACTCTACATGCTTCTTTCGTGGCTGTGGTCCACCCAGAAGTCGGCTTCTCAGCCAAGAGGCAATGGCTCTCGTTGGCCAAGGCCACTTTCCCAAACGAGGTCATTGCTTTGGAAAACGAAACTCCTATGGAGGGCCCCCTTGCTCCTTCAAGCAGGGTGAGAGGACTGTACGGAGCTACACGGACGAAGCACTGTCGGCACTGCTTTGAGACACCGCCAAACAGCAGCTGCAGCCGTTCCAGAGAAAGGACAGCATTGGATCTGCCAGCCGCCGCCAGTCACTTGCATGCATTTGCTAGGTGAGTGTGTTCTATGTGCAGAACTCGTCATCCTCTGCAGTCACTGACGGATCTGGCAACTCCAGAATACTGCAGAGGAGTCAGGTCTCACAAATGCCCCTCTGCAGGAGCCCCACCGCCTCATGGGCTGGCTCCGAACTACCGCTTCCCCAGTGTTCCGCCTGCTGTGCCTCGGCGAGCGATGACAATCACAGTTTGACACTGCGTCTTTCGGTCAAATTTGAGTGAGTGCAGTGTCGTTGAGCCATGTTGCCTTGCATCGAACCGGCAGTGTGCTTTGACCACCTCGGCTTGCTTCCGTCAGACAGGTTGCCTACACTGTACAAAATCGCATGCTTGCAGTTTCTGAGCATGAACTGTTGGAGTGCCAACTCTGTCTGTGCAGCCGCTGGCCGGGCGATGCATTGAATCTCTTGCACCAGTCTAAGCTATGCACTTGTTCTCGAACACGATGCTCTTCCCACCAACGCCAGAAGACTTCTTCCTTGGCACTCGTGCGGCGCGTCCGTGGGTGTTTGGTAGTCTGAAATTCTGAAAGATTGATTTCTAACCAAAATGGGTGCGACGACAGCCAATAGAAGTACAAGGGCAAGCGGTCTTGGAGCTCCTTGTCACAGTTACAACACTCCCAAAGATCCGCCAAGGAACGTGTGAGTTCTGTTCTTGTTGCTGATGCAGACTCTGTCCGCCTCTTCCTTTGTCATCTTCTTGATGCCTGGAAGGGGCCAGGCAGCCCGGCTGAGCCCTTTTTGACACCACCAGCTACCTGCGTTGGGTTCAGAGTTCGGCTCTGTCGCGTGGGCACCTCCTGCTCACCCTGAAATCTGACACCTGGGGAGCTGGATGTGGGCCCACATAAGTAAGCGTCAAAGTAATATGGTGGTGGCATGTGACGGCCAAAAGCATGCCTGGTAACCCCCTGTGATTGCTTCCTGCAAAGACCTTGCCTAAACCACGTCGTCCTTGCTTCGATCGCCAGCCAAGGATGCCTAGCAAATCGTCAGAACTACAAAGCTCAAAGCAAAATGGACTTGCTGACTAGCAAAATCCATGCCTGGCAGCCTAACATCCTTTCAGATCACCTGCATGCCCAGCCTCCGATCTCGCAGCCCGGGCCAGGATCCAGCGAAATGTCGACCTGCACACGTAGTCTGCTGGCAGGTGTGTGGCTCTGCCACAGCGACGCCTCCAAGTACCGATTGCAAAAATGAAAGAATTCAGAAGATTCGGAAACAACAGCAATCACTGCAAACTTATCACTTCAGCAGAGAGAAAGCACTAACTACGACGACATACGGCAACGACGACTACTGCTACTACTGCTACCAGTACTACTCCCGCAACCAATATGCGGTTGCTACCACCGCCACCTCCACGACGACGTGCACTGCGACTGTGACTAGAGGCTCCACGAACATGCACATCAAAGGCCAAAACCCTGAAACCTGCATTATGCCAGCTTTGGACAAGGAAGCGGACCCCGCAAAGATTTCGAATGCCCATGGTCGAGCGTCGGGCATCACATGGGGGTCGCCGATTGGCGCAGGCAACTGAAAGTTTAAGCCGCGCAAGAAGTCAAGGTCGGGCTGGTTGAGTCCCTTGATGGAAACGCTATATGCCACTAGCACCTGACGCGTTCCCTTCCAAGGCTGAGTCCAATGGCTACCGCTACTGCTACTGCTGCTACTACTACTGCTATTACTGCTGCTGCTGCTACTACTACTACTACTGCTGCTACTACTACTACTACCACTACTACTACTGCTACTGCTACTGCTACTGCTACTGCTACTCCTGCTGCTGCTGGTACTACTACTACTACTACTACTACTACTGCTACTCCTGCTGCTGCTGGTACTACTACTGCTACTCCTGCTGCTGCTGGTACTACTACTGCTACTACTACTACTACTACTACTGCTACTGCAAAACCTACTAGTAGTGGTAAGAGTAGAACTACTGCAAGTATCTACCAGTACTACCAGTACTAGTATTAGTAGTACGACGAAAGCGGCGGCGAGGACTGCGACTACAACAGCGACTACGACGAGGACGAGGACGACGACGACTGCTACTAGTACTACTCCTACTCACCACCGCTGCTACTACTGCAACGTTAGCTGCAGCTACTGCTGCTGCTGATAGCACTAAGTGGACGCGCAGCAGACGACGTCTGCGGGGGGCATCGGCCATGCTAAACTCGAGAACTTGGAGATGACTACTGTGGGAGTTATATATATATATGGTGGTCGCCACCACGCTGAAAGCCTACCGCATGCTACTGCCAAAGGCAACAAAGCAAAAGGGCGGCAGGACCTTGATGAAACGCTCCCCCTTGCGAGTCACCACCTGACAAGCTGCGTGCTTCAAAACGGATTGGAAACGTACTTTGGCACTGCGCGTGCCGCGTGCGACACAGCTTTAAACTTCAAGCATAGGCTGCAGACTTCAAGCCTCGAGCTAAACTCGAAACCAGACCGACCCAAAGCCGAAGATCTGTCGTCCCGCAAAGGTCAACGAAACAGCCGAAGCAGGGACATACAAAGTGTGTCGCGTACTTGGTCTGTTCGGCGAAGTCGCTTTGTCGTCCCGGAACCTTTCCTGTTGGCCTTTGCGATCCGCAAGTTGACGCACCCCTGCAAAGAGGTTCTTCGTCTTCCTCGGCTCGATCAAGATGCCAAAACTTGCTCCGATGGTGGTCCCGTCCCTGCTCTTGCATACAGTAATAAGGAACTGTGCTCTCGCCCTCTCTTCCCTCTCTCTCGTTTGTGCTGGTCCCTCTTCAACATGGCATGGTAAAGTAGCCGGAAACATCCCGTTCCAGGTGATGTCCACCACACCCTGCTGATGGGAAGGGCAGCTATGCCAAAACCCAGCTTCAGACTACCTCCTTCCTCAGCAATGGCGGAGTGTTGTTGAAAGGTTGCACGCGATCCAGCCAGCACAACCCTTCCTAGCCAACACTTTCTGTCGTCGTCAGGCTGGAAGAGGCGAACCGACCCTGCGCTAGTGTGCACCCAGTGGGTTTTCAGGAGACACCGACTGAACAAATCTCGCTGAGGGCAGGGAGGAATTGTCAGGAACCCCCCGTCTTGACTGAGAAAGCTCTCTCATGCTCTCTGTGTCTCTCTGTTGTCTGCTGCTGGAGATCTCGAGACGGCTCGGTTAGCCCCACCTCAGAGCAGCCGAAGGGCTTGGACATCTTTTCCTCCTGCCTCTGCACTGCATACCTGCCCGTTGCTCACAAGTATAGGACACATTGGGGCTATCACGCGTACTGCCAGTTGCTGCTCCTGCTTCCACAAGCGTTGTAGGCACTGTTTTATTTGTCTTGGTTCGGTACCTGTCTAGGTACTGTAGTACCGGGCTCAAAGTCGAAGACAAGGGATGCCCGACTGAGCCCTTCGTCATCGCAAGTCTTGTGAGCATGGGACCTGGCAAACAAGTCCCTCTTCTCTTCGCCGGAGAGCTGATGAAGTTGTGATCCTGAGATGACGAAAATTGGCGAAAGACTCTGAAAGTAGACTGTAAACCGCCGGATTGTGTTTCTTGTCCATGGAGTTCCCCACTGCTCCTCGCTACTGTGTCCTTTCCACTGCCCAGGGGCCAAGCAAGCGAAGGACGCACTCTCATATTCCCAACCCTGCAGTAGGTCCCCAGGCACAGACCAACTGCAGTAGCCGGATATCTGCTGACACGAGCACTACAGCGAAGGTTCTAATGGAAACCGATAAGGCTTCTGAAGCAGCCTTGAAGTCGACTGCAAAAGCCTACGACATTAAGTTTTCTGCCAGCGTCGTGGGGGGAGAACCGGCCCAGAACTGGAGCTTGCAGAAGCATTGGGAATGGAGATCTCTTCACCTTCGCACCTTGGTGCGTATGGTGCGTGACAGTAGCAGGTCTTCAAAGTCTCTGTGCCACCACCTCCCACGATCCGGTCGACGTCACGTCCAGAGGAGCACCATCACAGATTTATCCGAACACTCTTTTCTCACCACACGGCAGCATGGCATGGACGACGGTCATGTGGCCCTGCCACGCTTCTTGTTGTCTTCCCGCTGGCGTGTTAGAAGGATTGCTGCTCTTGGCAGAGGAGGATTGAGTGCCCATGAGACCCATACATGGGCGCGCTGTTTGTTGTTCGAGGCTCAGGCTCGGTTTTGACCCTGGCAATGGCCACCGCATGTTGACGAGTGAAAGTTTCGTGGGTGTGGCTCGCCTTGGACCATCTTGGACCCAGGGACAGTCCTCGATAAAAACTTGAGCACGTGACTCGCGAGGGGTCTGGATGCTTGAGCCACGTCAATCTCCAGCAAAAGTTTCCCCAGCGGCATGCCGACTTCCTCAGTGCCGGGCGGAACGCCCATCATGCTGCAGTTGAAGTCCAGGCCCAAGCCGATGAAGTCGATTTTGGTGATGTGCGTAGCCTTAATAGCGATGAAAAGAATTGAACCCAAAACTCGCTTCATTACAATTGTGTGATCCGTCGCCGCATGGCACCTCAATTACATGTCCATGACGGGTTTACCCGCCTCCAACATGCATGCCGTGCTACAAGAAATGCTTGCAGCAACAAACCCGTATCTACCATCCAAACTGGGATCTGAACGCCGCATGCTTCGCAAACAGCAACGAAGACTTCCTGCAGTGCGTTCTGCAGTTGACAGTTGTTGATGCGAAGACACCAGGCTTCATGCGAAACAAGAAATCTCTGTTCCATGTCGCTGCAAACGCCTCCTCTGTCTCTTCGTCTGCTTCCTCCTCGCCAGCAATGTGCTCCTCCGCCTCATCCAAGTTGTTCTCCTCCTCATCCTTTTCAAGACTTGCATCGGTGACCCTCGACTCGCACAGCTGCTTGAAACAAGACTGTCTGGAAGCAGTGCGCCCCGACTCCCCCCCCTGGCGCGCTGTGCTGCGAATGTGCCACACTTTGGCTATCACCCGGATTGAACCCTGTCTCCGCGAGTAGAAAAAATCGCAGAAAAGCAGACACAGTGCCAAAGGTGGAGCTTGAGCAAGTGCTGCCTCGTCCTCCTGGCCACAGCGTCTTCCAAGATCTTCGCAACAGAAGTCGTCACCGAGTTCGCCTAGGGCCGCGATCTCTGCGAACGGTAATGAGGGCTTCTTGCTGCAGCGACTCCACTCGGAAGGCGCTTGAGGCCTGCGGTTGCCCTAGGTACAACCGATCCTTACAGTACCAAGTGCATATTGCTACCAGCCCTCTGACAAACATGGTGTCCAGCCCAGTTGCGAACATCCACATTCCTCAGTGCTTACAAAAAAAAGAAACGCAGAAAGCACCTTGACAAAGCCATTTACAGCACTGTTCTGTGCCGTTGCTACTTGTCTCATAAAACCCAACACTTTGAAGGTGCCCGGGGCGAATGCAGATCTGGCTAGAGACTGGCCTCTAATTACGCGGTTTAGATTGTCAGTGCCGTGAGATCACCAAACCGGCCTAGAGCCTCCTGGCGCCTGGGACCTAGGACACAGCCGCAGGTGTCGTTGAAGATTCGCCTGGTGAGTTCTGCGGGTGCAAGGTGCTGTTCCTTACCCAGTATGGCGCAGGCTCTGCATCCAAGAACTATCTGCTCCTTTGTTCTCCACTCGAGTCAGCATCCGTTCGAGAGGCATCCGGTCACCCGGAAATCTGCCACAACGCGATATTGCCGCTCAGCGATAGTCCGGCGGTTTGCGGCAGCCACACGTTCAACTTGACAGGTCCGATGGTGGCGATGACAAGCATCCTGAAGCGCTTTCGTGGTGCGATCGCAGTTTGGAAGCTCCCAGTCCGCTGCAAAATCGTACCAGTGACATACACCCTTGTCTTGCAGCAGAGGCAGAAGAACATCGAGGAATTCTGCTCCTCCATCTCCCAAATCAACATCACCATCTCCAGGATTCTTGGGCCTGGGCGCCAAGATTCTGTGATAGTGCTGCTGCGGCAGTGTACGTGCGAGCTCTCGCAAGTCACCTTCGAAGACGGACACTCGGCCGTAGTCTGTGCCATCTGAGCTGGAAAACTGCATCATCTCCAGGCTGCGCCGGAGGCATCGCACAGCGGCTGCGTTCAGCTCCACAGCCACAACTTCTTTGGCTTCTGTGTGCGAAAGAAGCTGGAGAACCTCAGGGCCGCAGCCGGCAAAAGCCACAAGAACTCGTTCGTCTGGTTGCACTGCTTGGCAGAGTCGTTGTCGCTCGCTGGCCAGCCGCGGAGAGAAAAAGCAGGCGTCCAAGTCAATGACCATCCGAACACCAAACTCCATATGAGTCGTCCTGACGAAGCAATGCCAATTCAACTCACATCAGAGGCGACTCAGACTCTCAACTTACAAGTATCATGTTCACCAGGTGCACAGTCTCGCGAACCGTTCAGACGAGCCACATCAGAGGAGATCTTGACCGCCCAGCAATGACATCCATGGCCTCTGAGGGATTGGCAGGATTCTAACACTTCTGCCGCTATGCCCTGCTTCTGCAAGACTTTCCGATTCTGCCACCTCTTGCATTCAAAGTGCCCCAGCAACCACTACGACGATGATGGGGACTGCGACTACTGACTGCCGCGGCTACTGCACCAGCCCCGCCAAGTTTTGCCTGAGACGGGGCTCGCAGCTCCGTGGCGTAGCTCCGCTTGAGTGCCACAACCTTTACCCGACGGTCCTGGCAAACTGCCAGTCTGGCATCTAGACTTGCGCAGAAATGGTGCATGATAAAGCTCGTCGGGCGAAAATCCATCCCGATCCAAAGTGCACACGAGAGGCCTGCTTTAGAATAGCTGCACCCATCGTCGCGACATCCTCATCTTTCGGCTTCACATTCCTGGGATCAGGCAGCGATTTGGGCCGGCTCTAATTCAACCCGAAAGCCGCTGAAGAGCAGGCCCTTCAAAGCGCGCTCCGAGGCTCACCACGGCGATATCACCCACCACGTCGAAATGCTTGGTCTCCTGCAACGCAGCTCTCAGAAGAGGTCAAACCGAAGAAATCCCTTGAGACCCCGGCAGAACTCGGCAGAACCATCGGTGCGACACGTCAATCAATCAAGGTGTGCTAAAAACAAACTCCTACCTAAAAGCATTCCGGTTTCCTTCTCCTCGGAGGTTTCTGGGATACAAAGCTCTGCGGATGGCGGGGGATCCTCGCAGGGACGAAGGGCCGCAGAATTCGGATGAATGTCCAGGTCCATATTTTATGGTACCGGGCTAAGGCTCAGAACCCTAGATTTTTTTTGCCTCCCACCTATTTAGGACGAGCCCGCATTGCAAGGTTCTAGGGTTTAGACATGCGGCTTCAGCTTTAATGAAGGGTACGGGCTCTGCAGCTTGCAGGAACCAGCTACTGCTCCTGCATCTGTCGAAGTGCTTCCGTGAAGCGATCAATTTTCTGCCAGTTGCGCAGGTGTCGGCTGTTAACCAAGCTTTGGAGCCATGCGTGCTGCCCCCGGAACAAGGGAAGACCGGTAGGTCCTGTGAGAGGCATGTCTAGGCCCTCATCTCCCCAAATAGCGACAATCAGCTTGGCCTCCTTGGAATCGCCCCAGCCCTGTAATCCCACATTCTTGAAGACAGTCCGGGCAGCAGCCATGAGAGCAGCGGCCGCTACGAGATCACGACAGCACACATGGAGGATGAAGGGTTCGAAACGGAGCCAATAGCAGGCCTCAGCCTCACTCAGCTTCGCCTCCGCCAGCTCTGCTCGCTGTGGTTGCTGATGCCTGCGACCTTGCCCAAGGGGCTCTGCGCGCCAGAGTCTGGACAAAGCAGCAAAGCAGCCACACACACTCAGGTCGGAGGTGCCAGGCAACATGCTTCCGAGCTCCTCCAGCGTGCTCAAATCGAAATATGCGCTTGCATCCTCCACGAGGTCATGTGTAACCCTCCATCGGCTGAAGCACTCAGTGCTCTTTACACCATCTCCTCGCCAAATGAAGGCACGACCAGCACAACTCGAAGTCGTGAAAAAGGCCGGCCGGAGGTTCAACTCCGCACACACCTCTCGCGCCTTTTCGTCGATCTCGCCGGCACTGGATTTGTCACATTTAGTCAGAAACGTGCGCTTGCGATGCTCGAATCCTTGAACGGCCGCCATGGCGAACAGTGCTAAGCAGTGTCGACAGCGCTTGGTGACCACTGGTTCTGCCAAGCTCTGTTGTTGACCTGCAAAGTGCCTTTAGAGTGCAGCATGGAGATAGTGAAGCGTTGATGATTCTTGACCTGCTGGTATGCAACCTTAATTCCGCCAGTGGTTGCAGGAGCTATCCGAGTCACATGTGTTATGTCATGGTCATGGTAACATAGTACACAAGCGGGCTCGCAGCCACAACGGCCATCGTTCATGTGCGTGAAGTTCGCAAACTATGTGCCGCAAATCAGCTGCCAACCGTGCGCACGGCTCATATCCACTGCATCTCGGAAGGATGCAATTGCTTGCTCTGAAGTGTTCTGCAGTTTGCAGATCGCCGGCTGTACTGCAGGTGTTCCGGCTGAAGCAACTATCCCCCGGAAGCTATGTTTGAGCCTGCAACGTTCTCTTCAACCTGACCAGACCACAGTGTCACAGCCCAGATTCAGAGAGTAGGCCATGCCGCACAGCACGCAGCGAGCGGTATGGCGAGCACGATCCGGATTTGCGTCGGAAGCCTTTCAGAAACTGGTTGAAAAGCAGTGCAAGCTGCGGTGTCGCGGGTCTCGGCGAAGAGCCCTGTAGCCTCGGCTTCTGCCAGCAGCTGGGTGGCAAGGATCGTCTCGTCCTCACTGCCTTTCGAAATTCGCTATCGCAGAAATCATATGTCTGCTGGCCGTCGCTCTCTCGAAGTGTTACATGCCCTGAAATTTGAGAAGCCGGCTTTCATCTGCTGCTTCTGGTCGGCTATCCTTTCAACACGAGCCACAGGGTGCAAGGTGCGGAAGCCTTAACCTATCTGCAACTAAACTGCAACATGTTTGCAATAAAGCTACAGCTGCCAGCCCGAGTCCTCGAGGCTTGCGCTGAGAATCTCCTGCTTGCTTCGACCTGTCGAGATGTCAACCCTTCGCATGCTTCTGCTTTATGTCCCAGGAGGCCACAAGGATAAGGAAGCCGCCACGGGCCATCTAGTACTTGATTTAGGCAGCACGCCCTGTAGCCGTCAGTTATCTGTCGCCAACCCCTTCGTGAGACGACTCCGACTCTGACAGTCCATGGGAGTATCTTTCCTGCGTGATGTTGCAGCCGCCTGCGGAGATCCGTGAGATATGCATCCACTGACCTAGGAACTCAACCACAACCCTGGCATATGGCACCTCTCCAGCCTCGGCGGAGCCCGTCATCCTCATCCAGGTCTATTTTTGATGGGAGGAAATTTGCCTCTGCGACTACCGGGGTGGAAATCGTTGTCTGTTCTTCCATGAGAACAGATCCAGCAGCCCCAGGAGACTTGGAACTGTGGCTTTCTGATAGACTCGTCACCTAGCCACCAAGCAAGCAACTCTTAAAAACACGTGCGAGAGCAGCAACCAGCTTTAGCTTGCAAGATCCACTTCGAAATTCGAAATCAGAGCCAATGAGAGTGTCGAACACATGAAGAGATGTAAGTTGGCTTCCACGGCTCATGCAATGTGGAGTGGAACAGAAGGGCTCCTTGTCAGTGATGCTTTTGGTGAGGCCGTGCCTCGTGTGAATAATTAAACATAGACAAGCACACAAGCACGGGCGTACCTCTAACATATGTTTTTCAGGCATGTCGCATGGCAACCTGAATGCAATCGAGCTGCTCTGAATGCGCCTTTTGTGGCACGGGCGCAGACTGGCACGCTTCGTCTGCCGACGGAGACTCTGACAAAGTTCCGCGCCGATCCGGCAGGTCGAGAGGGGCCTCTTCGACACCCTCTTCTTCGTCGCAGGGCTCATCTTCTTCTCCAGTAGCCTCCTGCGTATCGTCGTTGCCCTTGGGAGCATCTCTGCTGTCCTGTGCATGGCATCAGCCTCATCTTGCTAAATCGTTGAAGGCGCAACTCGCAGCCTGCTTCCTAAAGCGTAAACCTCAAACCCTAAACCCTAAAAGGCCCAGAACGCGCCTCCGCCACCTCGGACTCCTGAATTTCGTCCGTCGCATCGGCCCAGGACGAGCTGGAGCCGACGCGCAATCGTGGCACCTCAGCTTGGTAATTAATGTAACTGTATATAGTATATCTAAATACTATATTATCAATGTAAAAGGTTTATAGTGTGTATATATACATTTATTTATTTATTTACTTATTTAATCTTATTTATACAAGGCACAACTCTCCCTGACCCAAATGGCCTTATTCGAGTAGTGCCCTCCTCGTCTGTGCCTGTTGCGGTCTTGCATCTTCGCAGTCATCTTCGCTCTACTGTTCTCCGACAGAGCAAGATCACAACAACTGCTGACTGTCCTGCCATGATTCTTCAGACTGCGGACCTATCGTCGAATCGTGACACTCTCGCAACACCTGATATAGAAGACATTGAAGGACGCCGGATGCTGTCCTAGCAAGATCTACACCTCGCGTTGCAGAAAGCCTCAACGCAAAGGGATCTAGTTTCTCTGATGTTTGATTCGTGCGGTCGAGTCACCCAGGCTTGGAAGCTGGCCAGGGGTGCCCTTGGCCCAGGAATCTCCCCGACTCCCCGACTGGCGATAAGGTAAAGCAAAGTTTGATTAACTGCCCAGGCCTGAAGACCGGTGAGTGTTCGCCATACAGTAGGAAGTAGTTGGCAAGTTCGGTCGGTACCTTCCCCCTGCTACCACCCCCGCAGCTGCCTACGAGCTAAACTCACAGCCTGGAAGCTTTGCAGCCGATGGCAATGGGTGGTAATCCGAGTCCAGGCCCTCATGCTCCAGTTCGTCCTGCTCCGTTCTCGTCCCAGCGTCTCATGACACGTATGGCTGTCCCGTAACAAACGAAACTCAAGCCTGCTGAAACAGAAGGCCCTTTTGTTGAGCGGTCCCCAAGCACATTGCGCATGTTGTCTTGTTGCTTTGCCCGTGATCGTAAGCCTGTATTTCTTTAGCCGCTCCTCCCAAGCTTCCTCCAACTCCTCTCGCATTGACCTTGGTGGGGCCAGATTACAAGGCAATCCCAGCCAGGTAATGCTTGGTGTTTGGGCCGGCGTAACTAAGTCTCCAGAAAAGTCCGACTCCCCCCATGCTGGTGCTTGCAGGATGCTGCAGAACCTGCCAGTCCTCTTCCTCGTCCTCAACGTGCTCTTCGGCCGTCACTTCTTGCGAGTCCTCTGCCGGGCTTGTTCTTATTCATGTACTCGTAAAGGCAATAGCAAGACACGCGAGACTTGGGCAATGGACCGGAGCTGCTTTTTGAATGGAGTTCAAACGACGAGACTGGCGATGCCATGAGATAGATATGTATATATATATACATGCATACATACATACATACATACATACATACATACATACATACATACATTGATATTTGTATTTTGTAGGCATGCATGCATGCATGTACAATGTTGTAGCAGATGGTTACATACCTTTCTTGATTCATGTGCGAGTGACAACTGATTAGGCTTCGTGCAAGGAAGTAGTCCGACCGGCCTGGTCAGGGACACCGGCAAGCATAACGGCCTCCTCGGCAACGCTCTCCGCCTGCATCGGAAGCCTAAGACATGGTGATGTCGTCGTAGCACCTTTGACAACAAACGAAGACGGCGACGACGACGACGACAACAACAAGAAGGACAAAAACGACAACTAGGACAACAACAGCAACAAACAGCAAACAACTGCAAAACACAAGCAGCAGCGCCACAACCGAAGCCACCACCACCGCCACCGCGACCAGCACCAGCAGCGCCACCGCCGCCGTCACCAGCAGCAGCAGCCGCAAGCAGCAGCAGGAGCAAGACAAGGCAGCATTTTAAAAGTTTCGGAACCACATGAAGACAGTACGGCAGGCACACCAACTCCGAGAGAGTGACTACGCTATTGATGGGATTCGAGCTTATCCGGCGTGCCTTTTCCGATTTGTGTCTGTCTCAACGAAAATTTATGCAACAAGAAGAAAATCATGGCGTGGTCAGGAATTCCGATAGTTTGGACCTATTTCCTACTTTTTCATAGACATTGACGCAAGACGTGTTGTGTTGACTTCGGGGTGCCATTCTACAAACCAGGACTCTGGCTTTGAGTGTGGCGACGAGTTGAACACCAGATCTTCTGCTTCGACTTTGGGCCCAGGCCCCCGAAGCTGCATTGGGCCCTTTATCCTCAAGACTGCTTCCAGTCCAACGGCCGAAGGTTGCAGCCTTGTGTGTTTGGGGATTTTTCCGCTCTGGGTTATTTTGAGAGAAGCTATCTTGGACTTTGAAGGTTGATTCAGGCTTGAGGTGTTTACAGGCGTTTGCTGTTGTGGGACTGCTAGCGCTAGTCAGTTAGTAATTTGAGTGCAGGCGAAGCCAAGAAAGCACCTGTGCTGCTGACTTGCCTCAAACCTGTGGCAGGTGAGCAAAGAGGACGACGCAAATAGTTTCCCCCTCACTGCCTCTCCAGGCGCTGTCCCCAAAGACAAGAGAGAGTCTCGGTCGATGCATCGGGTGGGTAAGCCAAGCGAGCAGGCGAGCAGCAGGCGAACAGCAGGCGAACAGCAGGCCAGCAGCAGGCGAGCAGCTTCGGCCCGTGCCGACCCGGCCTGCTCTGCATCGTCTTCAGCCTCGTCATCCTGAGCGTATACAAGGCTTTGCGATGACACCAGACATCACCTCTGTGTCGAGCTGATGTGGCCTGCGGCATGCAGTGCCACGCAAGCCCGGAACTTATGCTCCAACCCCCAGCCGAGAGACCACTGGATGTGGGTAGCCTTGGTTTCCACAAGCTTGGAGGCTAAAGAACAGGCCTGCGCTCATCTGCGCCCCGAATGCTGCAGCTGACCACTAGCTCTTTGCACAGGGAACACCTCGCAATGCCTCGAAGCGCAGACTTCAAGTCAAGAATGCGCAGGGGCTTGAGACAAGCGGCTTGCGTGGGTGTGGCTAAGTGGAGATGTGGAGGCTAAAGCGCCTCAGATCAGATATCGAACTTCTTGCCACTGTTAGAGCGCAGCCAGCTGGACTCGTGCTAAGATCATCATTCAGCTAAGTGGCCCATCTTGTTTCCTGGACAGGATCGATGCTGTCATTCCGGTGCTAGCTTTCTCGAACTCTGGCGGCTTGCACCGCATGCTCACCGAGACTTGACTGTGGAACTCGAGGGGACTTGTCTCCACCAGACAATTATGGAACGTAGGCTCCCGGCGCCCCACTTTGATGGCTCCCGGCTCGAGTGGTGAGGGCAACGCGCCAGCCCTGGTACATGGCACGGATTACAAATCGAATGCCACTCCAAATAGCAGGTCGCAGCTGCCAACATATTAACCAAACCCCAAGACCCCGCAGAGTAGCTACTATTGTCGGCAACCAGGATTCTAGGCAAATGACATGGTACAGTCTGTGTACCGTGACAAGTTATCTTGAGCTGACTGCAGGAGGAAGCATTGGCCTCCAGACCCTCTTCCTTGTCACCACACGCTCGCTCCTGAACATCTCTTCAGCATTCCAATCACCTGGCAGCATTGCTCCAGTCCACATGAAGCGAGAAGTCTCTTGGGGATGGCTGCTTCAAACAGAAATCAAAGCTGCGTGCTGGTCCCCATCTGCACACCTTGCTGGTACGAAACTTCACCAAACGTCTCGAAGTTCTTCTCGTCGCATTGCGTTTCTTCTCCCTGCCATACATGACAAAACAAATTCACTCGCGGGCAGCACCAGAATACCATCCGCCGCGCTTCCAGTAACATACACACCACCACGAAGCAATCCCGATCGAGAACCCATGTCTGACATTGTCTCGGCATGTCATCGGCAAAGCAACTCTCATCAAGAAGACGCAGGCCTCGCGCTGCTCTAGCTGCATCAGCAGGAACCTTAACAATGGAGACGGACATGCCGTGGAAGGGCAGCAGGTGTGGTTCGCCCAACGGAACACCAATTTAGATATTGAGCCCAAGAGCCAGGAACTCAAAGAAGAGTCCTGTGCCAAGATGCTCATCGGTGCTGACCGCCATCGGGCCATTCCCAGGTTCGCCGGGCAGCCTCAATTTTTACAGCTACTTCTAGGTCATGGGCATCTGTGCACTCCAACATGCTCAGAATAGTTTGTGACTTCCTCGCGGGTCGATCGCTAGTTCAAGGACTCATCTTGAGAAGCGGCCGCGTGACGGTTTAGCTTTCAGTTTACATACTGGTTAGCCCTCCGTGTCTGTAAGGCCAAGTGACACCTGCCCCGATGACCAGAGATTGGGTGTCCAGTCGCCAGGGACCTCATCTGACCTTTGAAACTTCTGCATCGTTTCGGAGTGCTAAAACTACGTCGTGTGCAAACTACGATGTTAGTTGGGGGTGTAGACCGCTAGAAACCGTTACAGTTGGCGCTCCGCTCAGCGCGAAGGCCGTCTCGGCAACACTGTCGCCCCGCAGCTGTCGTATGCCCTTCTATGTGCGAAGCTTCTGGGAAGCATCTCTGACTCAGAAGCTCCTCTGATTGCGTGCAGAGTGGCTCCTTGCCTGCACCCTTGCGGCGCTCGGCCCGACTCATGGTTTCCTCCTGGAATGTCGGTTCACCGCTGCAGCTAAACTTTAGCGATGTTGTCTCTGAGGTAGAGTTTCACGGTTTCAGTCCGATATTCTCGGTGTTGCACAGTTGGATCTTCGGGCGATGTGCCCTGAAGGCAGGAATGAAGCTGGGAGCTTAAGGGTGTCCTGTTCAGCCAGTATTGCAGAGCTGTATGTGCCAGTGGACATGCAACCGCACTCTCGGTCTCCTCGCAACGCCATCATCAACTCAATATTCAAGCCAACTGTCGGGTGGATGCACTTACTGAAACAAAACTGTGGTGATGAATGGAACCCCGCAGGCCTGTGCCTTCTTTGTCTCGGCACGGCTGCGCTCAGCTAGTGCCACCTTTCGCTGTCATGCGGAGACATCTCAGTTGACTCGGAGTCGTGATTGAAACCGGCCTTTGAAACTGCACTTCGCACTGGTTCATCAGCTGAAGAGCCCGCTATCCAGCAATCAAAGCAGCTGGCTGCAGTCCAGGAGTCCAACAAATGGTTTTGCAGGTTGAATTTGAATAGTTTTCGAGCTCGACCCCCGTCCGATCATCCAGGTCCCCCTAATTTCTGTGCCGATCCGTCTAGCGCAATGCCTGCATGCAGCTGAAACATGGATGAAAGCAATGGCCTTGCCTTCGCACAAAGCCCTCACACCCGGAGAATCTTAGCTCATATCTTCGAGGTATCCAGCCGGGTTTTTTGCTCCAGAACAAGCTCGTCTGATTGCTTTCGAGCCTTCTCCTCCTAGTGCCGTCGCCCCTGCCACCACCACCACCACCACCACCACAACTACACTCCTTGTTTTTGCTTTTGTGGTCACTGCGAGAAGCAAGCGTTCGTGATAAACACAGCGGAGATGATCATGACACTGGTGACGATGATGGTGGCAAAGCTGACACTAATATGCCACAATCACAAGCATGCTACCACCCTCACCACCAGCATTACGACGATGTTTCCATTTTCTGAGGTATACTGCTAGGGTTTGGCCGATGCCTGCGACTACGACCTGAGCACTGGTATGCTACTTGGGCTGCTGAGTCGTGCATGTTGTTGTTTTGCTTCGTTGCAATTCCTGATTTTTCATCATGGGTTTTACCGAATACCTCCTACCCCTGTTACCCGTTACTTTGCGCCTCTCGCCGCGTGCGTGGCGCAGGGCCTTCGCTGCGGCTGCGCTTCGCAGAGGTTCGCTGAGAGGCCTCGACTTTGCTGAATCACCAGGAAACAGAAGGTCTTATCACTGACTAGGGCTAGGGTTATCCGCCAGGTGAACCAGCACAGCAACGTCATCGCTTTTGCCTTGTCTGTGGGATGACGAGGATTGAGGGTTTGGGCAGCGGTTGAATCAGCTCAGAGCCCCCCTAATCAAAAGGAGCTACACCGCTCCAACCACTCTAGCCAAGCAGCCGCCTTAGCCTTAGACTCGATCTTCTTCTTGGCCTCTGCGACCTGCTGTTGGTCGATCGCCTTCTCGACGAGGGCGCGTGCCCAGCGGCTTGTGCGCTCGTCCCGCTTTGCCCTGGCTGCCACCCGTTTCAAGCGAGCCTGCTCTTCAAGCTCCTCCACGGGTGTCTGCACCACATGGCGACTTCCGGAGGTCTTGCCAATTTCAGCCAGTCCTTCGAAAGTCCGATGCGCCCAACGTTGGCGCTGACGAGGTGCATGCTCAGCCTCCTCTGCCAGGGCTGCTACTGCGACGGCGGCAGGGCTGGCACCGGCTTCACTGCAGAACGCATCCGAAGAGTCACCGGTGCCTTGCCGCAACCATCGGCTCCGTTTGGCCGTTTGGTTGGGATCCTCGATCTCCGCTTCGGCTGGGGCCGACGCCCGGACTTCCTCCTCTGCAGCCCCCAAGCTGACGAACGCTTTGTGACATGAGAGGCCGACGATGCCCCACTCTCCTTGGAAGTCCAAATGCTGGACTTCGAGGCCCTCTATATGCGTGCCGATGCGCAAGCTTTCGAGTAAGCCTGCCCGACGTGCATGGTTGGCATCAAGAAAAGCTCGGCAAGAGCGGCCAATGTCGACAAAGACCGTACGGTGCGTGATGCGCTGAACCACGCCAGTCACCTGCATGCCAACACCGAGTCCAAGGGTTGCCACGAGGACGTCACGATCCCATCGTGCGCTTCTGCCCGGCTGTGAGTCGTTTCGGCCCAGGAGCTCTACCATGAAGGCCGCATCTGCTTTTGCATGATCCGGCACGTCGGCTTGTGCAAAAACGACAAAGGAATCAGTAGGAGCACCAGGGCCTTGCACCATGGGCAGGATAGTTTCCCGGATCATCTCCTCGCCATACCGGCCGATCGCCTTCTGTTTGGTACCAAAAAGCCTCAAATATGCAGAGTTACAAGTGCGAGCCAGGCTTGGCCAGCCGTCTTCAAGATCGCCACACCAACCATCCGAGTTTTGGATGTGGATCCAGGCCAAGCAAAGGCCCCACCTACGCAACAGATTTACCACGTCGTCCCGGTGGGCACCGTACCAGGAGCTATGCCGGAACTCGAAGATGTGCAGAACCTGAACAATGGGAACCAGCGAAGCGAACAGACAACCGGTTTGATCAGCACAACATTTATTTTTCTTGTAGCTGGCTGCCTTTTAGTCTGAGCCACCGGCATTTCTAGGCAGGCGTTTTGCCAGCCTCATCGACTATCGTCCACTCCAAAGATTCGACGATACTCTGCTGAATACCATTACTGTTGATGATATAAATCCTGCATTACCCATAAGAAGGAATATACCATAATTCCCATAGTTTAGGGTCCTTAAGATCATGCAGGACTTTTACTGTCAACAGTAAGAGGCCCTCAGCTTCCAGCTCCTCCAGTTCGTAGAGGCTTTGCCGCGAACAGCCTCGGACACACGCGTCCATTCGTGGCGCAAAGGTATTTCGTGAATTTTGGGTTTTGCCTACGCGAAGGAGTCAAATCGTAGTGTAGATACATAGACAAGCAGATCACACACAAACACAGATGTAGGTATCTATCTATGTATACACAAATGTGTGCATATATACAACATAACAAAATAAATAAGGGTATACAGTTCGGTATACATATGCACACAACAAATAAATACATAGCTGAGTGAATGAACAAGTAAAACAATCACTCAGTGTGATATGTATATAAATATATGTATAATATACTGGATATGTGTATGTATGTATGTATGTATATATATATATGTGTGTGTGTGCACGTGGTTATCCCCCCTACATTTTCGCATCTTCCCCACTGCGCCGAGCAAGTAAGGAAACAGAGAATCGTAACTTCTAAGGCTCTTCGGAAGTGTTTTTTCAGCAAGCTATTGGGGAATCGAAATTTCCAGGTCTGCGGTTTGTGGCAAGCCACTGGGGCATTGCTGTTTGCTATCAAGCAATCGCAACCCATTGCAACTTAAAAAAGGTTAACTAAACGTTCCAGTATAAACACAAAAGGATGGTGCAATAAACTTACGAAATTTGGAAAAAGCACAATCGGGATTGATATGACGCTAGAAGACCAGAGAGATACGATACGATAAAGCAAGATCAGGTAACATAAGGCAAAATAAAATCATGAAGTATGGGTTTAAACCCATATATGTCAATACACATGAAAGAATTTTCGGTACATATTCAGTTCAGAATATATAACGTATAATATTTGTAAAATTTGTAGTATTTCGCACAGTCCAAGGACAAGACAGAATGTAAACTAACATGGTAGCGTACAGCATGTTTAAAATGACACAGTATTTTTTATAGTTTATTCTTTGCAAAATAGCATGATGTGACGAATCGTGCTTTAAACGGGTATAATGTCGTATATGGTACCGTACCATGCCACGGACATAAGATGCCTCAATACAACAGGATTTGATATGGCATGGTACAGTAATTAGTAAACATCATGATGTGTTGCAACATGCAAAGATACGATAACTGCAACCAGATGCACAGTCTATATGACACAATACAGTCTAATATCATCGGATAGAGTATCGTAGGTCTTAACCTACTAGTGGACAATATGAGAATGTCGAAAACCAGAATGAATCATACCAAGATGTTAAACACAAGGCAATTTGTCCATTGTGAGATGATATGGTGAGATATAGGGTAAGATGATAGACCATCTAACCAAGCTTTTGTCATCATATGCAGTATATTCACATATTGTATGATCCGTTGGGACATATGTCTAACCCAAAATATATAATATAGTGTAAGACAGTAAAGCAACACAAGGCTCGCAACAGTATATCAGCAGACCAACATATGCAACACAGCATGATCGAACATCAATCCGTGGGCGTATGTATTATACCAACTAATATGCACCTTGTAACAGAAGTTCACATGATATTTGGAGAGTATAGCACGGTATAGTAGAGCACAGCATAGTAAAGTGTAACAGTTTAGTGTAGTATATAATGTAGTATACAGTACAGTACACTGTGTAGTATACAGCACAGTATCTAGTGTAGTCCAGAGAATAGTATAGTATGTATTCAAGTTTTTCCTCGAGTCCACAGTATAATCTTTAGTCGTTTATATAGTATATTCTATAGTAACATCTATGGTCTATAGTGTAGCAGTCTATAGCATTGTCTACAATAGATTAAAGTATGGTTTCGTATATAGTCGAAAGTATATAGATGGCACATAGTAAAATGCAGTTTTTTACATTTGTAAAATCTTCAGGATAGGGGGTATAGCATACATTAGGATAACATGTAAGAACATGCAACATAGTTTAGTACGATATAGAGAAATATATCATGAATTAAGGATCCTACTGACTTTGGCCGCTTTCACTCTAGATTCTAGAACCGAACTAGGCATCAATGTGCTGTGCTGTTTGTTCTCACACTCGTAACGCCAGAGGCCTGACCAT